TTCATAATTTAAGACACAAATTATTAATGTGGTGGATGCCAATGTACAATAATTTGGGGGGAACATTTGAAATTATTCTACTACTTCTATCAGCCTTAAATAAAACTCATTGTGACTTGACACTTAACACCTCCACCATCACCACCAGCACAGAAAGAGAGACCAGTTGGCCTAGTGGACAAAAAGCCATGCTTCCAGGGCGAAGGTGGGCGACTACTCCACGGTCCTCAGGCCTGCCTTTAATGGTTTTTGGTGAAACATTCTTCTAGGTCATGTCACCCTGGTCTGTCCACTTGCTGTACAGAGGTGGTTGCTATGAAGTCGAACACTGTGACACTGATGAGTCAAATGTGATAATGGTTACCCGTGGTGGACAGTGGTTGGTGGAGCTTCCCGATTAAAATAAGCTTAGAAGCAGGAGTGGCATCCACTTCCATAATAGCTTGCCTCTGGAAACCCTATGAACCTGGAGAAAGGACGAAAGTTATACAGAAGGTGTCCAGGACCTTTGTTCATAAGGTCACTATGAGTCGCCTGCGATTCGACGGCACTTAACAACAACAACAATTGAGTCATAAAACATTATTTATAATATCTGCATTTTATTTCAATACAAATATTTATTCAATGGTATTGATCTGTATAAACAAATAAATTGGGACATTTTTACAATTACACTTGTAAAATATATTTAAAATACAGCATGTATTTGGATTATTTGAAGACTACGAAGAGAGAGCTTTAATAGATTAGGACAACAGTAACCACCAATATCTCTGTAATCCAGTTACCAGGTTCAAATCTTCACTTTATTTCAATGAGTTTATTAACCTCCTCGTGGGATTAAATTACTTTTTCTTTCAAAGGAAAATACTATTAGCCCCTAACTCACAGAGTCATGAATATTAAGTGCTTTATAAAGTATTTCTAGCAGTGATTAATCCATTGTAGTTATGTTGTTATTGTTATGTACCTTCAATTACGCAGGAGGAAATTGCCTGTTTTGCCCCCATGAAGCAGCTGATGGATTCTAACTACACGCCTTTGGGTTGGCAGCACAACTCTTTACCACTAAGTTACCAGATCTCTCAATTCTTGTAGATATTATCAGAAACCACGAAAGATGGAGAATATTTTTTTAAAAATTTGTTATTTTAATGAGCATTTACAGAAAAGTTAATTTCCCTTGATTCATTATTGCAAATTTTATCCCCTCTTCCTCCCTTCCCCCTCCCCAGTTCACTTTTTGGTTTTTTAATATTCATTCATTGTTGCACAATTACTACCTACCTCCTTCCCCTCGCCTCAGTCCTCTTTGCAATGAGGTACCTCTTATTCTGGGCTGTGGTTGTACATACAAGGCCTAATCATATATTTCTTTTAAATAGTTCTTTCCTTCATCTGTTCCAATGCAGTGGTCATTATCTATTCACTCCTATCCTATTCTTCTCTCAAACCCCCATGTCAGTGGTGCCATGCAGTATTTGTCCTTTTGCGACTGAGATATTTCACTCAGCATGATGTCCTCCAAGGTCTCCCATGTTGTGTAATGTTTTACGAGTGCATGTTTTTTAGCGCTGTGTAGTATTCCACTGTATGACAATATCATAGGTTTTTTTACCCATTTGTTTATTGATGGGCACTTGGGTTGCTTCCAGCTCTTTGCCACAGTAAATCACTCAGCAATAAACATGGCTGTGCTTATATCTGTTTGGAAGGTGGTTCTGGTTTCTTTAAGGTTTATTCCCAGTAGGGGTTTTGCTGGGTGAAATGGTATTTCTACTTCCAACTTTTTTTTTTTTACTTCCAACTTTTTTAAAAAGTGCCAAGCAATCTTCCATAGTCCATTTTATGCAGATGGAGAATATCTTAATAAAATACATCTATTTTAGAAACTAGCTCTCTCCTCCTCTTTCTGCCATCTCTCCGTGCCGCCACAATGGGGCACTTGAACGTCCTGGCTGATGGTCTCAAGAGCAACAACAATGATGAGAAGAGAGGCGAGTGCCAGGTTCTTATCAGGCCAGGCTCCAAAGTCATAGTTCAGTTCAGACCATATGATGACGCATGGCTACATTGGCAAATTTGAAATCCTTGATGATCACAGAGTGGGAGAAATTGTTGTCAACCTCACAGGCAGGTTAATCAAGTGTGGCGTCATCAGCCCCAGATTTGATGTGCAGCTCGAAGAGCTAGAAAAGTGGAAGAATTATCTGCTCCCATCCTGTGAGTTTGGTTTCATTGTACTGACAACCTCAGCTGGCATCATGGACCACGAGGAAGCAAGACAAAAACACAGGAGGGAAAATCCTGGGATTCTATTTCTATGGAAGAAATAAACAGTGCAAATAAAAAAAGAAAACAGTTCTCTGGGTGAAGTAATAGGACATAGAAAAATCCTAGATTTGCGTTTCTGTCAACAATGTTGATCGTGCTCATGTTTCTGTACAGAACCCCGTGCTCACAGATATGACTATCAAGCTTAGAAGATGACGCGATGTCCTCCATGGATGTGAAAATAGCAATCATCCTTCTATTCCAGATGGTCGTTGGAATCCTGGGGAATTTATCACTCATGTACCACTACACCTGTTACCTCCGTGGATGCAGGTCAAGACCCACAGACTTGATTCTAAAGCACCTGACTGTAGCCAACTGCTTGGTCATTCTCTCGAGGGGAATCCC